GCAATGAGTTTAAATTTTAAATATTGTGATGGTACAGAAGTGGCCATCTGAGGATAACACCTGGCCAATTAGATATTCAACCGGCATTCTAGAACTTCAGGGTCTTTGATTTAATTTCTAGAGATAATTGAGATCTCAGTGTCTTGAGTACGGATGTGCATGGAGTGGTTCGATTCGGTTATTGTCAAAAATTGAACCGAACCAGTTTTAAACAGTTTGAATTTTAGATCGAATCACTTTTTTTTTATAAAAAACCGGTTATTAATTTGTCCAAATCGATTTAAAACCGGTTTATGGTTCTTAACCGGTTTTGATTTAAAACCGGATTTAAATCAAAACCGGTTATGAACTATAAACCGGTTATCAAGTTCAAAACCGGTTTTTTAACAAATTCAAAATGGATTTTTGATGGATTGTGTATTTTTATAAGTAGTCGTTTGTTTCTCCCGGTTATAGATAGTTGACCAACTATATTTTGCAAGGATCTTCATTATTTTGGAACTCTCAAGACGAAATGATTCTTATAGAAATTGTTTCACGTTATTTTTACAGAAAACATATCTGTAAAAAATTTTAACGAAAAATTTTTTTTGTCGAATTTTTTTACGGAATATAAAATTCGTCAAAACATTTCCTTCAAAATATTTCACAAAAAACATATTCAACGAAATTTTTGACGAAAAAAAATTTCATCAAAATTCTTTACAGAATTCAAATTCCGTCGAAAAACATTTTCATTAAACTTTTTGACAAAAAAATTTCTGTCGAAATTTTTAACGAAACACATTTTCCTCGAAAATTTTCGACGAAAAATATTTCGGTCAAGTTTTTTGATAAAAAAATATTTCCATCAAAATTTTCAACGGAACACATTTCTATGAAAAATTTTCGTAAAATTTTTTGACGAACAATATTTTGATAATATTTTTAGTCAAAAAGTTTTATAAAAATATTTGAGGGAAATGATTGGAGGGAATTTAGATTCCGTAAAAAACTTTGACTAAAAAAATTTCCGTCAAAAAAATTTTCTAAAATATTTTTCGTCAAAATTTTTTACGTAAATATTTTTGGTCAATATTTTTTTTCGTAAATATTTTTGGACAAAATTTTCGTGCTAAATGTGTTTTGTTGAAAATTTTGCTGAAAATATTTTTCGTCGAAAATTTGGACGGAAATATTTTTCGCAAAAAATTTTGACGAAATTATTTTTTGTCAATTTTTTTTATGGAAATGTGTTTCATCAAAAAATTTTACAAAATTATTTTCGTTAAAAAGTTTAACATAATTGTTTCTGTCGAAAGTTTCGACATAATTTAGATTCTATCAAGAATTTTGACACAAATATTTTGTCCCTCAAAAATTTATATCAGTGATTATGACAAAATCTTGTTCTGTCTCTAGTTTCGACGAAAAAAAATTTCGTCTCTATTTTCTACGTAATATGATTTTTGTAAAATTGTTGACGAAATATTTTTCTTCGATAAATTCTGTTAGTATTTGAGACTTTTCTAATAATGTCACATTTAAAAAATGATTCATATTTAAGTAATTTTCACCTTTTAATGCTAAGGATAAAAGATAATACTTATTTGTTCTTTAATTGTAAAATAGTTTGGTTACGAATAACCATAGATAATTAATTATTTTTATGGTTTGGTAAATAATCGGTTTATAAAATAAAATGCAGTTTCATATGAAACCGATTTTTAAAATGTGGAGCAGTTTGATTATGGATCGATTTGATTCTTTTGGACATTTTGAACACCCCTAAGTAGGGATGTTCATCAACCAATCCAAACCGATTCAAACCACGGTAACCGAACTGAAAAACCGAAAACCGAATAATCCGAAAATCGAAAAATCAAAAACCGAAAAAAAACCGCAAATTTTAATTGGATTGGATTGGTTTTCGGATTGATTGATGAAAACTGATCCAATCCAAACCGATCCAATATATTAATTTCTCTCTACCTACTTGGGTCTTTCCTCAATCATAGCCCAAAAATTTCTAAACCCAAGATCCTTTAACCTATCAACTAAACCCAAAAAAAAACCTAGTTACATCTCATTAACAAAATTTCATTTGTGAAGAACTTCATATCTCATTTGTGTAGAGCTTCATATCTCATTTTTTTTTTTTTTGTAAATGAGCTTCATATCTCATTTGTGTAGAGTCAATACATACAAAAGATGTTATTTGCACAATAATCATGCAATTTTTAGAATTTTCAAAAAATCGAAAACCGATCTAATACAAACCAAAAAAAATTAGATTGGATCGGATCGGATTTGAAAAAAATTCCAAATCAAATGGATGGTTACATGATCAAACCGAAGGGATTAGATCAGATGGTTTTTACTTCCAAAACCGATCCAATTCAAACCGCGAACACCCCTACCCCTAAGTACCACCCTTCTTCTATTCGTCTCCCTGTTCGTTTCTCTCCTAATGATTGATGAACTCGTTTGGGGTTTGTATTCCACAGTGCCTATGAATCTATGATTGGCTCCCCCATGATCAAGACCGTCGTATATAAAAATTATCTTTATTACTCCTTTAATATCAAAGATTCAGCATATATTTGTTAAAATTAAAAAATATATATATATTTATATATATATATATATATATATTTTGAATTTTACTTATTTCACCCTTATTTTATAATTAATAACACTTGAAAGTTATTTTTTAAGTAAAAAAATACTTACACTTATAATAACCAAAATATTATAAAGAATTACTTCAATCCAAAATTTTAAGACATTGAGTAAGGATTTTTTTAATGATGTATATTATTTTTTGACACATCCTCTCGCGCAAGAGCCTCTCGCACAATAGCCTAATTTATCTTATACTTATTTAATTCCACAATTGGAGAGCGATGATGATTAAATTCGTGACTCTGTGGTCAATGAAACTCTAATATCATATAAAGAATCACTTTAACCCAAAATCTTAAAATGTTAGATAAGATATTTTTTAACAATTTATATTATTCTCTAACCATTATGGTAAACAAATTTGTGTTGGCTGTGGGGAATCCACATTCCGCAAATTGTAAATGAACCAGTTAAAATTACTTATCCCAAATCGAACCAAACAAGTTGAGGTTGGTTTGATTCGAATTTAATAGAATAATTTAACAAAACTCAACCAATGTAAGTCAATGATTTTGATAGATTCGCTTTTTACTCTCAAGAAAATAGAGTAGCAGATGTTATGGCGAAGATGAGATCAAACTCTCCCTCCAGCTATTAGTATAATTCTGTTTGATGATACTGGGAGTTTCTTGTTTCCATCTCTCTGTCTTTCTTCTTTATCATTGTACCATTAAAAAGATTCGAGGATAAATCTACGAATAAAACAGCATGTGATAACTTCAAAATAAAATCAAGTCAGAATTTAAAGCACAAGTAACACTTACGTTAAAAATAAAAATAAATTACTTGACTTATATTTTAACTCATATTGTATTATTTTATAATAGGTTAAAAGAAATTTGTTATGTCTGCTGAGCGCTGAAAGAAGATAAGATTTCTTGACTTATATTTCGTATCATACTTTAATCTTTTTTCAAAAGGTATAATTTAAATAACTATTTTCTTTAAAAGAAAAATGAAAACAAAGAATAATGTAAATAGGAATAAATATTCTATTTTTTTACATATTTTTATCCATCACTCTCTAATATTATTAAATCAAATTCTCAATTACATTTGTTATTTTTTTATTCTATTGAAATTTTAATTTAACAATATTGAAGAGATAAAAAAAAAAGAGATAATTAAAATATTTATGCCACGCACACGATGATTGCGACAATTGTCAGTGGAGTTTACTCGGCAAACCTTTGGAAGACTCTGAAATCCCCGGGCCCACCGGCATAAAGTATCACCCTTTCCTTTTCTGACCCCGCCACTGCGCCACTCTCTCTCTCTCTCTCTATGTCACTTCTCTGTACGCCAGTCCACATAAGCTAGCTGTCTGCAAAATAGACCCAGAACGAGAAACTATCTTTTTGTGGTCACAGCCTTCCTTTATTTTTTCCCCTCTCTTTTCCGCTTTCCATACATACCTATGCTAGATGTTTACAAATAAAACCAAACACTCTTTTTTTTTTTTTTTAATAGAACCAAACACTCTTTCAAGTTTTCTCAATTATCACTTATTTCATAATTATTTACATTTTTATTTAAATTTTTTCTATCACTTACTCCTGATTTAAATTTTTTTATCATTTACCCCCCTCACTTAACAGGATAAATAATAATAAAATTTTAAATCAAGAGATAAATAATTTAAAATTTTGCGAAGAAAGTAAATAATTATGAAGAAAGTTATAAGGAGATTTTTAAAATTTTTCCTATTATATATGAATAAATTGCTTATAATAAGTTGCCAAAAAGAAATTGCTTACAATATATTAAAGCATCCCTTACTAGTTACCAGTAGCTTTTGTACTTTTTTTTTATACTTTATGATTTCTTTTTTCATTTTAAATTTTCTATTTTTTTTTAGAAACTGATCCTAATTATCTCTTTGAGGCGAATCAGAATCTCCCGATATTTCTACGGGTTCAACTCTTTGAGCCGCCTATGGAATTAATCCAGAGTTCGGGTGCAAGTCCAATAATTACGGTATTTATGCTCCTCCCCAGATGGTGTTGGTGAGATTCGAAATTTTAAATTTTCTATTTAATATAAGTAAGAATTTATGTTTTCACATAAATCTCTACAATTTTAAAATAAATTATACATATTACGTAACACTATTCCATCACTCTTTGATCTTCGCGTGTCTCATTATTCCTAACTTATACAACAATTGTGCTTGGCTTCCTTTGATTTATGCTGCGAAAGCAAAACCATTGTGGCGTTGTCCTTTTCTTCAGTCAAACATTTAGCTCTGAATGCGTTTTTTTGTCTTTTTCTTATAGATTCTGAACGCCTTCTACCTTTCACCTCTTCATCAATCACCCGGGCCTAAACTCTACTCTCTCCAACCCATTCGAATAACTTCCTTCAACCACTCGCGCACGTCAGCAACGCACTCCCAATCGCATCGCATAACATATTTTTCCGAAGTATATATATATATATACACACATATGTATAATTAAATTATATACATTCTTGTCTACCAAAAAAAAGGAAAAATCATATACATTCTTCTGTTTTGTCTAATCAATGAATGGTGTTCCGAGGCACGAACGCCGATGGGCGTCCGACACCGTTCCGGATAAAGCAGCCGTGAGTACCGGAACTTCGCCGGAAACTGAGTACAACTCCTTCTCCGACGAGTATGTTGAGGTCACTCTTGATCTTCAAGACGACCACACCATCGTTCTCCGCGGCGTTGAGCCGATTACTGTCATTAACGTCAACGATGGTGTCGCTACTAGCGGAAACGAAACTCCGGCATCCGATGCGAGGTCGCCGACGGTCAGGAGGAGCTCTTCCAACAGGTTGCGGCAGTTCTCGCAGGAGCTGAAAGCCGAGGCGTTTGCCAAGGCAAGGCAGTTCTCACAGGAGCTTAAGGCGGAGCTGCGGCGGTTCTCGTGGAGTCACGGCGTGTCTGAAACGGCGTTGGTAGCTCGAGATCTTAGGAAGCAACGCGCTCAGCTTGATCGCAGTCGGTCCGGTGCTAAGAAAGCAATCCGTGGACTCAAATTTATCAGCAGTAAATCCAATGGTGTTGATGGCTGGAACGAGGTGCAGAGAAATTTCGATAGCTTTGCCAAGGACGGTTTTCTCTACCGCACCGATTTTGCGCAATGCATAGGTCCGTTCCTTTTTCAAATTTTAATTCAGATTCTTGCATTGTGCATATGCGTTAATCATTTCGATTCTTGATCCTAAAAGCATTTTCATTCCTTGTTTGAGTCCATTGTGTTTCGCCAATTTTGTGGCTTAAAACTTAGCTTGATCTTGCAAAATCTTTTACTTGCCATTTTTTCTTCAAGAGTTTTTGTTTTTCTGAAGGGATGAGAGATTCTAAGGAGTTCGCTCTGGAACTATTTGATGCTCTGAGTCGGAGACAGAGACTGAAGGTTGAAAAGATCAGCAGAGATGAACTTTACGAGTTCTGGTCGCAAATTACCGATCAAAGTTTTGATTCGCGACTCCAGATCTTCTTCGATATGTAATCATTGATTGATTAAATATTATTTTAAAGTACTAATTAATTAATTTTCCCACGTTATCCTTTCTTATCTTTAAGCTAGTATTTGCATGCCCATAATAAACACTCAATCTTAATTAAATGTCACGGTAATTTCTTTTAGTAATTAAATATCCACAAAGCGTAGATATTTTCCTTGTTCGTAATTTCGATCATAATCCTTACTTGCCTTTCTTTTTCTCTATTTCTTATTTTAAATTTATTTATCTTCCCAGGGTGGACAAAAATGAAGATGGCAGAATCGCGGAAGAAGAAGTGAAAGAGGTATTGAACAATTTTTTGTTCCTTATTTTAATCCCAAACTTTATCTCTCTTGTTTTTTATCAACAAAAATTTGTTAATGTTCGCCAAAATAATTTGAATTTGTTTACTGAATTTATTTTCTTTTAAAAAAATTTGCACTTGAATTTTTTTGATATAGCAATTTAAGCGCTTCTCATAGTTGAAGGTAGCATAGTGAACAACTTCAAAAATAAAAATGAACTTAGCATAGTAAGCTAATTAAGGGCATTTTTTTTCCTTCTTGTTAAAATAAAAATTCACATGTTTCAAGAACTTTATAAAATAAAATTTTTGTTAAACTTCATCACGTGTCACAACTGGAGGAATTTTTTCTTTAAAAATGTTAGCTTTTTTTTTATTAATTAAGCAAAAACTGATTTACCTCTTTATATAACGAACTCATAATTTACACCGTTAATAGTATACATATGACTTTTTATGTATATATTGTTTTTGTGTTGTTTATTTTATTTTAGTTTTAAATTTTAAATAATGAACTATTTCCCATCTGATCTTTTTCTTTTCCAAATATTTGTTGTTAATAATTTTCTCAATAAAAACATGAACAATTTCTAATTATTACAATATTAAATGTTAATTGTGTTTTTTATTTTTTAATTTGTAACATGGATGTATGCTAACATCGTTGAAAGGATAATTAAATAATAATAATTTCTATATTTTTATTACATCGTTTTTATACTACATCTTTTTTATTGTCTCTTCAAACGAAGATAATAAATTATATATTTCAACATATACTCTCTTCTTCTTCTTTTTCCTTTCTCTACAGACGATGATAATAGGTTATATATTTCAAAAATATGCCCTCTCTCTTTTTTTACCCCTCCAAAGAAGGAAAGTATGAAAACAATATAACGTGTTCGATATAGAAATATTACAGTCATTAACTAAAACCAGAGGACGGAATCGGCCAAAAAGTGCATTCCCGTTAATACTTCCTTTGCTAGCTATTTTTCGTGTAATGTTTGTTACGTAGCCCGTAGGCCCCATACGTCTGATGTCAACCTGAGTATTAGTAATCATTCTCAGCTGTCGGCAGGAATGGGTGAACTTTTCCTCATAACGGTTAAAAACATTAGAATAATGATGTTTGCACAAATTTTTTACATTATTTATTTCTTTTATATACAAAAATAAAAAATATATTTAATACATTTTTTCAATTTTACAAAACTTTTTTTTTTTTTGGAGATATTTACAATTTTTTTATATAAAACAAAGCGTACAACTGATACAAAATTTTTAATGTGCAGATGTATATTTGATAAAATTAATTACTAATATTCAGTGTTCCTGCTCAAGACGTTTCCCATGTTGTAAATATTGATATTAGCTGGTACCCATTAAGAGCTCAGTGGACTAGGTCTTACTTTTCCGGCTTTGCTCGTACAGATGGCACTATCATTGCATGCAGATGACAGTACCGTTTATCTGATTAAACTAATTTCTTGGAATTCATGAATCATAAAGGAGTCATTTTCAGTGGAGTTGGTCGGGGCAGAGTCGTCATAAAACAGGAAATGCCATACGTCAAACCGCCAAATATAAAAGTTAATAGTTTCGTTGCTTGTTTTGTAAAATACACGGCTTTACATTAATTTGATTAATCACCAATCAATAGGCCACGGTGCATAACATGTAGTATTCAGCTAAAGCTTTTCAAAATCCGAAAATGGCACCTTTGCATATAAAGATATCTCACACAAATTTTTTTCACCCACGGCTCTACCTGATGATACCTCCCTCACCTGATGTGATGATTGCCCCAACTGAGAATTTATAAATTTGTGGAAAACTTTTGTTGTGAGACTAATTAATGTTACTTTTTAAAAGTAAAACTTGCATTAAACAATTGTTATATTTCATTTGATTTCCAGATCATCATGCTAAGCGCTTCAGCAAATAAGTTATCCAGATTGAAGGAGCAGGCCGAAGAATATGCAGCTCTGATCATGGAAGAGTTAGACCCCGAAAGACTTGGCTACATCGAGGTGGGAATTCTCTACATACGATAATATATCTGAATTTATTAATAATGCATTCATATATTCTAATTCCCAATATATTTAGGTCATAAAAAAAAATCTTAGCATGTTAAAGGTTATGGTACGTGGTAGACATTATTGTTTCATAACAGTCCGTGGATGGGTTTCTATTGCTAAATTTTATTTATTTTTATTTTTTTTGCCGTCTTAATTTGATTTATGTATACTAACTAATTAATTCAACGCTTGACCAGCATCGCACCTTTCTTTAGTCCAAAGTTGAGCGAAATTGAAAGTGAGCAAATCACACGACAGTCAAATAGCACCCTAGACTTGCTTTTACAAACACAAACTTGCTGAGGATTAGAAACATGATTTGATTGTCCCAACATCATTAATATTAGGAAAATAGTGGCTACTTAAAAGTCTTATTATGCAATCTTATTCATCCTTTTTCCGAGTCAGTCAATTTAACAAACAAAAACTCAATTACAGATGCCTTTGTGATTATGTATTTAATATGATTAAGCTGTTACGTCAAATCACTCACTTATGTATTGCACTGACCTTATTAATTTATTTAACCAATATAAAATTTTTAGAAGATATCCATCATAGTTGATTGGTCAAAGATGTTTATTTTTTTAATGAGTTGCGCTAGAAATAGTTCGGGGGTCAAGATGCTCTAGTTTTACTGCATTGTAATTTTTTTTTGTTACTCTATATACTACACAAATCTAAAAAATGTTTGGTCGTCTGATGCATAAAACTCTTGAGAATTTATACGCTCAACTCAGGCATTTACCAGCGTATCCTATTTTAATATAAGTCTATTATATTTGGCATCTCAAAATTTTAGGTAAAACTAATTAAATGTAGACATTATGGTGGGTAGGAATTTCTATGGCTAAGTGGAATTGCAGTTATTGCCGGCTGATCTTAAGCTGGAGAAGATTTCATCAAATAAACTCATTTAACTTTTCTCTCTAAATTGTTAGTTTAGAATAATTGAATTCCCCTTATGGGGTAAATTGAAAACTGCAATTAGGCCATATTAGTTTATGTTGGAGGTGAATGAGTGAAGGAAAAGGAGTCGTTTACTGACTGATGCATTATTGAATATCGACCATGTGAATTCATTCCTGCTGAGTGGTGTTTCTAAGGTACATCTTTCATCATGCTTGAGTTCCCAAGAGGGCCTTTCTGCCTCTTCGTCAGTCTAGGAAATTCTCGTTAATAATATAGATGACATGTTGAAATATATTTTTCATTTATGATTCAACCTCTGATAGTTTTGCGGCATTTTTTATGTTCATTGTGTTACCGCAGCTATGGCAATTGGAGACGCTTCTGTTACAAAAGGACACGTACCTCAACTACAGCCAAGCTCTAAGCTACACAAGTCAAGCTTTGAGCCAGAACTTACAGGGACTAAGGAAGAGAAGTCCGATACGTAGGATGAGCCGCAGGCTGCTCTACTATTTGCAAGAAAATTGGAAGAGACTTTGGATTTTAACATTGTGGATTTCCATAATGATGGGGCTGTTTACGTGGAAGTTCATTCAGTACAAGCGAAAAGATGCTTATCATATCATGGGTTACTGTCTACCCACGGCGAAAGGTGCGGCTGAGACTCTTAAGTTCAACATGGCACTTATACTCTTGCCCGTATGCAGAAACACCATAACTTGGCTCCGGTCCACCAAGCTGGCTTACATTGTACCTTTTGATGATAACATCAACTTTCACAAGGTACGCACAACACTCCATCACAAGGAAACATCTTGAATGCTCATTTAAAAGTAAGTGGCTGCCATCAATAATAATAATTCCAAAGCTATATTTGCTCTTGTCTACGTTGATACTATCGGATGAAGATATTCTAAGATTGTTTTTGCACTCTTTTATGATTATTAACAACATAATTATTCTTATATTATTGTGGATTTTCTATCCTAACGATATTGATTATCAAATTAAAAATAAAAAAGTATTAAACGAAAGGTAAAATATTTAATAAAACTTAAAGTGTTTTACTTTTAATTAATATTTTAAAATTTTAATTTTTTACTGAATTTTCTTATTCAACTTGTTAGTAAAACTCATCTTATTATTAGTAATCTTCTATTGTGTGTTGATAATTTAATTTTATCATGTTAACTTTATACCTTCCTGTAATAACTAATAGTCAACTTATCGTTATCTTAGTAGCAACTTGTAATTTTGTATCGAAAAGCTCTTTTTTATTATTTGGAAAATAAATCATTAATTAATATATTTTTAAAGTAATCAATGAATTTTACAAAGGGAATAACATTTCTGTTTTTGGTATAAAATTTTATTTTGTTACACACACATTCAGAAATGTTATTCCCTTACAAAATGATGAACAAAATAAGTTGAATTAGAGATTTAGTGAACTGTACTCCAGTTCAGGCTTATTCTCCTCTAGATTAAGTGAAAAATGTAAACTGTAATTATTATTAACTGATTTTAATTTTGATATACTGGATTGAACATACATATTTTGATGATATTATTAAACGAATTTTATAATTAAAATCAAATCCTATAAATAAAGAAAGCTCACTTAAAATCTAATTGATAAGAGTTAAAATCTTGTCAAAGCAATATGTTATTAAATAATCAGGTTTACAGTAAACCTGTACATAATAATATATCAAACATGAAATTTTATAAGAGATAAGTTATTCTGTCTACTATTTTTGTTGCCTACCCCTCTCAACACCATTAGATTACAAGCTATCAAACGGTGGAGAGAGAAAGGGATGAAAGGGTTATTTTACTCTGCAAATCTCTATCTTTAGATGAACTTGTAATCTAATGGTGTTGAGAGGGGTAGGCAAAGTAGGTAAAATGATCTATCCCATTTTATAATACAACATTTATAATTTTAAATCATATTATATATTGCTATGATTATGAATAAGGTTCGCCAAGAACTCAATCTTACATCAACACTAGTCTTCATTTTCTATTGTATCATCGCAACTTATAAGTGAAAGATTAAATTACTTACAATAGCTTTTTTTTAGGATATATCATCTAATTTATTAATCATGTAAATATTTTTAGCATTTTTCACAAGTTATATCAGCTTTTATAGGACATGATTTTACAAAAAACGATGAGAGTGCATTAGAATAGAGAATGAGAAAATAATGACAGTTAATTTATCCAACGATAGTTGAGGATCCATTCCCAAACAGGAGTGGACCAAAAAGATTAAAATCCTTTCTCTGCCAAGAAACTAGAGGAAACAAACAGAAAACATAAAAAATAATTTATGTGGTCTTCTAGGGAAGCATATAATGTTTAGTTATGGATGCTTGCAGACAATTGCTGCGGCCATAGTGATTGGTGTTATACTTCATGCCGGTGACCACCTTGCTTGTGATTTTCCAAGACTTGTAAATGCGCCTGAATATGTTTACAAGAAGTATTTGAATGGCGTATTTGGTGATCATAAACCCACTTACGGAGACCTTGTTATAGGGGTCGAGGGTATGACTGGAATTTTGATGGTGGTTTTTATGGCAATAGCATTTACGCTTGCAACAAAATGGTTCAGGAGAAACCTTATTAAGCTGCCTAAACCATTTAATAGGCTCACTGGTTTCAATGCTTTCTGGTATTCACACCACCTATTTGTCATTGTCTATCTCCTGCTCATCATTCACGGTGTAAATCTTTACTTCGTGCACAAATGGTACCTTAAAACGGTATGTAATTTTTATTATCAGATTTCAATTATTTAGGAGCATTACTAAATGCTTTTTACTTGTCGGTGATTTGTTACCTGACACGTTGATATCTGTTTTCAGACATGGATGTATCTTGCAGTTCCAATTTTACTTTATGTGGGAGAAAGAACACTCAGATTCTTCCGTTCTGGTTTGTACACAGTCCATCTTATAAAGGTGAGCAGAGTAAAGATAAATAAATAAGTAGAGTTAGGCTATTCTAAATGAATATTCAAATTCATTATAAATTCGGCGTTTTACTTATTTTGCTTACAATTGCTTTGGGCTAATTGTGTGCATCCCAAGGGAAGAATGCTAAAAACTGTAGGGACCAAAAACCTACGCGCAACTCCATCCCTGCTTCGGATAACGGGTCTTTAATTCGTATTGTGAAAAACATGTAGGTTGCCATTTATCCTGGAAATGTTCTTACTTTACAAATGTCGAAGCCACCTCAATTTCGTTACAAGAGCGGACAATACATGTTTGTGCAATGTCCTGCTGTTTCTCCATTTGAGTGGTAAGTAGCAATTTTGTTTTTCTGCCTTGTTTTGCACCAAGTATTGTGAATTTCTCGTGCTTTATGTGAATTTCACCACTAATAATAATAATACAATGCCTGTATGACAGGCATCCATTTTCTATTACCTCAGCCCCTGACAATGACTACCTGAGTGTTCACATAAGACAACTGGGAGATTGGACTCAGGAGCTTAAAAGGGTATTCTCTGAGGCCTGTGAGCCTCCCGTAGCTGGGAAGAGTGGGCTTCTCAGGGCTGATGAAACGACGAAGAAAAGGTACTTGATGGGCCTGCCATATGTGTTTGCCTTGTAATTTCGTCCTTAGGACAAATAATTATACTCATATTCCGGCTATCTTCTTGGTCTTAATAACTGATACAGTTTGCCAAAGCTGAAGATTGATGGACCTTACGGTGCGCCAGCACAAGACTACAGAAAATATGATGTCCTGTTACTTGTCGGTCTAGGAATAGGAGCAACACCTTTTATCAGTATTCTAAAAGATCTTCTCAACAACATTATCAAAACGGAGGAGCTGGCGGTGAGTTTTAACGCAACAAAGTATTAAGCATCCTTTTTCATATAATAACCAATGATGTGTCGCATAAGCCTTGTCATATTGACCATTATTCAAAGGTCTTTATAGAAGTCTAATATGAGTAACAACCGTGGTGGCTTCTATCCAGGATTCAGTCTCTGATTCAAGTAGAGGTTCGGATCTTAGCGTTGGGAGTACAGATTCACCGTCTCTTAACAAAATTTCTCCTAAACGGAAAAAAACACTGAAGACTACCAACGCTTATTTCTACTGGGTAACAAGAGAGCAAGGTTCTTTCGATTGGTTTAAAGGGGTTATGAATGAAGTTGATGAACTTGATCAAAGGGTATTAATTATTATATAGAATATTTACTTATCTTTCTTAGTATTCCTTTCCCCTGCTGCCAGATGAATAAGTATCATGTGCATTAGCTAATGTTTTAGTTCTAATTATGGACTGCAGGGTGTTATTGAAATGCACAACTACTTGACTAGCGTATACGAGGAAGGGGATGCCAGATCCGCCCTCATCACCATGGTGCAAGCCCTCAACCATGCAAAAAATGGATTTGATGTTGTTTCTGGGACTAGGGTAAGCCATTGACTTTACCTTTTACTTACACGTATGCGTTTCAGTTTCGGAAAAATAAAAGAGAGTCATCCAAAGCTTGTTTTTCAGTCTTGCGTAAGTAGATTTTAACCCTCGATTTGCTTCTTATAATTTACTGTCAGGTGCGAACTCATTTTGCCAGGCCTAACTGGAAGAAGGTTTTCTCTAAAATATGTTCTAAGCACTGCAATGGACGAATAGGTCAGTCAATCCCCATCAAGCATCCATTCTGTAGACTTTGTTTTCATCTTGTACTGACATCGTGGCTGCCTTAAATTCGTATCAGGGGTATTTTATTGTGGCGCACCAGTTTTGGCCAAAGAACTAAGCAAGCTCTGCTTCGAGTTCAACGAAAAAGGTTCAACAAAATTTGAGTTCCACAAGGAGCATTTCTAGGGAATTTGGACGGAGCTTTCCCATCTGTAGTTCTGTACCACGATTTAACACAAGTACATGACAGCTTAAACCCGTCATTTTAGCAACTTGTCGTAGCCAGATTTTAAGATTTTGTTGAATAAGCTAAAACCTTCTGTGTATAGAAAGTGAAGCATTGTACATATCGTCCAGCAAGATGGCTGGGCATTTCATCATACACGTGGCGGCAGCGCAAAGGAGATATGCGCGTACTGGACTCCAGCAACAGTGCGGTACAGCTAAGTTGGACCGTTGACGTTATTTATATCCTGGAGGGCCGCATAGATATTTGGCATATACATCAATAGGACGACGATATAGACAGTTTTGAAAGTGATAGAAGAAGTTGGGTAGAGGACTAAGGAGTGGGACAGGGTGACTTTTCAAGACCAAATTCCTCGTTTTCCTCCCAGGAATCTTTCTAGAAGAGTGAGGGTGAAACTGGTGATTCACCCCTGCTTCTTCTGCTTGGATTTCTTACCTCGGGAGGGAGAGGAGATCTATATAGTATATATACTGTACATGAGACTGGTATAGTGTGTTCTTTTTCTTATCCTTTTAGTGGCGAACAAATATTAAACAATTATTGTTCTTTTTTCCATAAGAACAATAATTGTTTAATTATTTCCCCTCTGCTCATTGCCCCCATTAATATTGAAATAATTATCGTTCTTAAAATAATTTTCATCCCAAAATATCTGGACATCGTTTACGTCCCGGATCCAAAGTGTATTGAGAACTGGGTTTCCTGTTGTCTTTTCCAAACTCCTATGCTTACTGTATATCGTTTGCATCTAGAGTTGTAAATAGGCTGGGCTGGGTCGGGCTTTGACCTTCTTGGCCGAAGCCTACGTAAAAAAAATTCAGCTTAACAGGCGTATTGGCCTATTAAAGGCTTTATTTGTAGGCCAAATTTGGTCTATTTTTAAAAATAAAAAAGACTGACATGGCCTACAGGCCTTGTAGGCCTCCCACTGTAGATACTAAGCAAAAAAATTAATTGTATAGAGCAAAGAAAGTTTCATTCATGCATGCACTAGTACTTCTCATAAGAAAAAAATGACAAACAATAAAGAGTCAACATAATACCCCAACTCTAGAACGTATATCATAGAGAAATAGAGTCAAAGAAATGGGGAAAATAAAAAAAAAATACAATTACTGGATGCTGAAATAAAGTCTACAAGAGAATGTCATTCATCTAAAAATCATTAAACCACCATAAGACAAGGGAAAGAAGAGTATTATTGCAAGATCTTTATCAATAACATCATAATCCAACAAGATACTCATTACCACCTAAAATAAATATTATTTTATTATTTTATTTTAATAAATTAAATAGGCCAGCCTACAAGGCTGTAGGCCGGGCTTGACAAAATTGGCCTATGGCCTATTTGTTAATTTTTTTTTTATAAACCTAAGTCTACTCTACTTTTTTCTGAAAGGCCGGGCTGGACTGAGCTGGGCTCAATGTAGGTCGGGCTGTAGCTAGATTAGCCTGGCCCATTTAGACGCTTATTTGCATCCCTCTTGAATCTTGATCCACTCGTAAATGATGGTTCCGAAAGGCACCAGTTCGCTGGAATTGTCTTTTGGCAAGGGTTTTAGATATTGCTGTGTTCTATTTAAAGTAACACCGTTTTGGTTTTAAAAATATAAATATTATCAGTCTAATATGTAGAAAGAAAGTTATACTTACAACCTTTTATTTTTACAACTTCTTATCATCATATTTTATCACCGTTAATTTTCGTCAATCAACGGTTATCATTTATTGTGAATTAATAATTAATTAATAAATTTAATTTGCTAAAACGATAACCTTTGATTGACGAAAATCAACGGTGATAAGATATGCTTGTAAGAAAAAAAATTTGTAAGTATAACCTTGCTCAATCTTTTTTTTTTTTGGTAAACAACCTTCCTCAAGTATGTTAAAATTATACTATTTATATGAAATTTTAGAAGAATGATTTTATGTCTAACAGTTTACTATTTTAATATTAAGTTACTAAAATTTTAAACTTATTTCTCAATGATTTTTGTATTGACGTTTTTTTATGCAGTTATGTTCAATAACTTTTTTGGTTTTTAATTATTTAAATATTTTTATTTTAACTCTGCCTATTTTTGGAATGAAAAAGAAGAGCCTAGGCCCAAAAACGTGAGCTAGCAAGGTTAATGTTTTTGTCCGAACGTGAATCAAAGTGATACTTTGTGTACAATATTTAAAAGCAGGTGCATGAAAAAGATATAAAGTGCAAATCTTAAAGATAAGTCATGTTGAAAAAATAAATTTGGAAAGAAGAATATTTATCAAAGTGGTCAATAGATATGTTGTTCACTTAGAAGATGCTATGAAAAGATTGGAAATCGCTTATATTTTGATGATGTATTTGATGAAATTTTTTAGAGTGGCAAATATTTTTATATTCTCCTGTCCCATAGATATTTAACATATGAGAACATCAGATTATAATTTTATTTTGAAAAAATATGTCATTTTAAAAGAAATGATATAAATTTGTGTTGTTTTAAATGAAATCATGATATGCATCAAAATAAGATCATTTTATTCAAAATGATAAAAAATTATATCTTTTAAAATGATAAATATTTTTTTTCACTTTAGTATTGTACGAAAAATTAATTGATCCAAAAAATCAATCGAAGGTGTGAATGGAATATTTTTTAATTTTTTTTTGTAAATGTTACAACTATGAGGTATTTTTATATTTTTGGATGAGATTATGACTCATTTAAATGTCGATTTGGTTTATGATGAGTTGATGTACATACCGAGATAGAGTGAGGTTTTTAATTAATTAAAAAGTATAATTTTACCAAATAAATTATAACCGTTGATTGACGAAAATCAACAATTATGATCTAAAATGATACAAAATCATATCATTTAAAAAGATAAAAAAAAATTCCCTTAATATAAACATGAAAAAGAGGGAAAAAGTTTAAAAAACCTCCTATAGTTTCTCTTAGAATCACTTTTCCCCTTACGGTAATTTTTTTATTATTTACCCCTAATAATTTTTTCCATCCATTCCACCTTTTAACTTTGTTAAAAATTAAATTAGACTGGCAATAGATTTTATCATTTATTTCACTATAATCTAATTTAATTAAAAAGCTAATTTACTGTACTCAGTATAAAAGTTTTGTCTTGAGAAAGGTGAGTAGGAATACAATAATAAATAGTCTTTGTAATTCTTTTTACAAGGATAAAAATGGATAATCTAATTTAATTATTAACAGTATTAGAAGATGGATTCGATGAAAAAAATAAAAAATAATTCGTAAGGAAATATGAGACTTACGAACTTTTTCAAAAAGAAAAAGAAAAGGAGAGAGAGAGAGTTATACAACTGAAGACGTTTAAACCGAACTACTGGCATTCCGAGGAGTCAACCATAAATTCAAGCCCAACAACAAATTATGGCCACAACGATAAAAAAAAATGCGCGGACCACACCAAGCGATATGATTTAAATTTTAGAAAGAAAAAAAAATGTTTTCATTTTAAATTTTTCTTCTTCTAATTCACGTGAATACAATCCGATATGGATAAACCTCAAATAAGTCCACAAATAGGCCCAAAACAAACAGGCTCTATAAAATACGCAATGTTTCCATCGCGCATAAAGACTCAAAGGCGCAATGACCTCATTGCGTCTAACTGCCATATATAACTTGAGAACTAAGGAAGGATCCTGTAATAAACAAAGATCCACCGCGCCATTAGCTAATATATGAAAGACAGCTCTAACTTGCCACCACTCTAAGAAAACAGCCCATCATATAGGGTTATAGCCATATAGGCACCAGTTGAGATAAGATGAGTCAGCAGCCCATCAACAACCAATCGGAAGACATATCGCCTATCAAAGGCGGTGTAAGACTTGCTATATAAGCAAAGGGTACACAGCCAGGTATGATTATCTATTTCCAATAAGAATATAACATAAGTCTAGCATTGATACTGACTTAAGCGTCGGAGTGTCATTGCAGGTACCAGCCCGAGGCATCGCGCCAAGGGAGTTCAACACTAATTCACCGCATAGCAAAATCGTCAGTCCACGAAGCACTACACCTAACCCAAAGTCTTCATTTTTCAATCGTGTGTGATTTGGATCAGTTCATATTGACCAGCACATCTTGTACGGGACCAATCACAATCAATTCTTAAAAGCCCCGATTAACCACATGTGTCAATGAACAAATTCATCTTAGTAAATTATTTATATCATAAAAGGAAAAAAAATTAATTATTGTTATTAACAATGCAGCGACTTTAGACATCAAGACCAACATATGTGTAACATATTACAAGCAAAACTATATTTATTATAGGGTTTTCGTTTTATCCTTTTAACATAACATAACAAACTTTCCTACACTCACAACATTTTGTGGGCCCACACTTTTTAAAACAAAAAAAAAAAATAAAAAATTAAGGCACGCAAAACAAATCTCTATAACATTACAGAATCACTTTTCCTACAATATAACTCTTATAAAACCCTTTATTATATCTTATATTAAACAAAAAAATATTTATTTTTGTTGCTGAGAATTTTTTTTGTCATACTCACATAAAAGTGAATAGACTAATTATAAAGAGAAGAGAGAAAAGATTAATGAAATTCATCCACCTTTATATGAGTGTGCCAGGTAATTTTTTTTTGCATTACAAGCAAAAATATTAAATCCATACTAAATAATGTTTAATATCATTAAGGGCATATGTTTAAGGGTTTAGTATTTCTGTTCTTGTCGCAAAAAAAAAAAAAAAAAAATTCTGCTATACTCACAGAAAAATGAGTGAGTTCCCATTATATTTCACTGATCTTTTCTTTCTCTTCTCGTTATAACGGGCTCAATATCTTTTATGTAATGGCAGAAAAAACTTTTTTGTAATAAAAACAAAATATGTTTAAATAAGGGTTATTAGGTGGACGCGGAATTATCAAAGTTCATGTTACCTACGCATTTGGGAAGGTGACATGTCCTCTGTAACAGCAAATTTTTTTTTTTTATTGATAATAGCAATAAATTTTATCTAGTCTTTATGGATGTTATGTTTTTTTTTTGTTAAAGTATTGATTTTATGCTTGGCAAAAGAGAAAGAGAAACGTTTTCATAAATGCTAAAATATTTTTTTAATAAGCCTTTTCTTAATTTATAAAAAAAATATTTAATATATTGTAAATATAAAATTATTTGACTTCTTAATTTAAAAATTAAAGAATAAACACGCGGAAAAGAAGTAATAAACGCAACAAAGCAGGAGATGCCCACTTTACTCAGAGCTCATCTAGAATCCCTAGGGTGGAGAACTGGATGATACATGAAGAACAATAACCAAATCAATCCTTTCGTTCTATTCTGATGAAACATAATGGTGAAACAGATGAGACAGATGAAATGGATTGGGATACCCATCTTGATAATATCCAGGGGCTGGAAGAGAGTGAAGGAGATGAATGGGGTTTTAAGGAGATAATTGAAGAAGATGGTATCTCTAACTTCTTGTGTACCAAATCTGCTAAAATGCGTATGCGCATTCCATGGACACAGGCACTGATAGTTAAATTATTAGGGCGCAATATCAGTGTCCCCTACAT